TTTCATGTCATTAGCACCTCTAGTGATATATTTACTGAGAAAAATGGTGACGTGTTCAATACTTATTTTACCCGCTGAATGTGAGGTCTCCATGTCAGCTTGTCATCAATGATGACACCCAGAAATTTCACCTCACTGACTTTACAGATCTCAATACCATCTACTTTAAATGAAAAATCAACAGTTGTCTTCCTCTTAGTAAATATCATGTAATTTGTTTTATCCAAATTTAATGACAATTTGTTTAGCTTAAACCAATTTTGTATTTTCTCAAATTCATACTGGGCCTCCTCCAAGGTGGACATGGAGGGTGGTTTCAGGAGATTTTTGAAGTGATTCTTTACCGCCCAACAATATCCTCAGCTCAGATCAGCAGTTCCTCACCCAAACCAAGTACAGTCTGGGATGGGGAACGTTTTCCTTTTCTGAGTTGCCAAATGGTTTGCCAGAACTTCCTGGAGGCCAAGTGAAGTCCTTCTCCATGGCTGCCCTGAATTCCTTCCATGTCTGAGTTTTTGCATCTGTAATCAGCGAAGCAAAGACACTGTTTGCCACCCTGTACCTGTCAGCTGCTTCAGGAGTCCTCCGGGACAGCCAAGTCCAGAAGGCCTGCTTTTTCAGCCTGACAGCCTCCATCACAGGTTTGCTTTGGTTGCCACTGCAACAGGCACCGACGACCTTCAGGCCACAGCTCCTGGAAGCTGCATCTGCCATGTAGGACCTGAACATGACCCATTCAGATTCCATGTCCTCGACCTCCACCGGGACAAAAAGTCTTCTGGAGGTGAGAGTTGAAGATCACATGGACAGGGGATTCCATCAAACATTTCCAGTATTACCCTCACTATATGTTTGAGATGATCAGGTCTGTCCAGCAGCCTCCCCTGCAGGATCCAACTCACCATCAGGTGATCAGTTGACAGACATGCCCCTGTCTAAGATTGTACAGAGGTCCTGATTATTTATGATTATTTCAGTTTAATTGAACGTCTCTGACTGATACAGTACCAAACCTTTGGTTTGTGGCACCTTTTGTATTCTAGATCGTTTTATCTTTTAAAGGGTTCCACGGTTAGTTGTGACATTAAACTTTATTTGATAAACATTTATTTTAACTGTAAAATAAAGACTGTAAAATTACTGTAGGCTGTTTAGTTTTGTACATTTTTTAAAATATATTTTAACATGGACGGAGCCATTTTATTAACACGCAAAGTATTCTGGGTAAATGATGACATAAACTAGGTCAT